GACACTGTCACTGGCCGGACGGCGGAATGAGAGTTTCCTCCTCTATCTAGTGACCCCCCCGTTTGGTACGATAGCGCTGCTCTGGTAAGCATCGATCTATCGTCATCGATTCATCATGAACCTCGTCAGCCAACCAGGTCTTCGAACGCTTGTCCTCCTTCTGGCCATAGTCACCCTCTATGTGACGTATGGGTTCTTTCACTTCTACCGCGACCCCTTATCCATCTTTTTCTCCGAGGGGCATGGCTATGATGCTTTTTACTCGGCTACGAGATACGCCGAGGCGCACGCATTCCTCGATGCATTCGAACGAGACCCGGAGCCAATGCGCTCCAAGCTGGTCAATGTCAAAGCCGGGCCAAATCCGCAGATGTGCGCTGTCTTCCTGACCATCGGCCGCGAGATGGAGGGCAGGCAATATGTCGATACTGCTGTAGGATCTTTCCTGGCCAACATGTCACGTGCAGAACGGGAAGCCATCCATCTGAAGCTGTTCTTTGCCGACGTGCCTAATCCCAGGGCGCAGCATAAGAGCTATGCAAGCCTGGTCGATATTGCTGACCATATTTTGACGTATCCCGAGAGTCTGCCGGCTAAGGACAAGGGGCGGAAGATGGCACTGCTCGAATCGTGGGGCAAGGATCGTTTCGATAAGAATGCGATCGAGCGGAAAACAGTGCACGACTATGCCTATGCACTTGCGCAGTGTGTTCAGACCACTAATGCGCCCTATATTGCGCTGTTCGAGGACGATATTCTGCTCGCAGATGGCTGGGCCGCACAAACTTTGAAGAACCTGCAAACAGCCGAGGAGATGATGAAGGACCCCAGGCGTCACAGTCCAGCAACTGGCAAAGTCGAGCCCGGCGGGCCGAATACTTGGCTGTATCTGCGCATGTTCAATCAAGAACGGAGCTTTGGCTGGGGAGGTGGTTACGGCTTTAGAAGCAATAATGCTCACATTATCTCGCTTGCTGTCAGCATCCCTTTACTAGCGATCCTGCTAGTGGCGCGCCGGCTCTCCCGTAGTCGTTGGCTTTTGCGACATCTCGACGGCTGGGTTCTGTTCATTGTTTGTGGCATTGCCGTGCCCCTCTTCGTATGGCTTTTCTTCGCTTCCGGCAAAGCGTCACTCCTAGGCTCACCACTGGGAGTCCACGAGGAGTGGTTCGGATGTTGCAATCAGGCTCTGGTGTATAATAGGCAGCACGCGCAAGCCCTATCTGACTTCCTTATGACAGCTGCGACGACAGCTGGGAAGAGGGCGGGGAGAGGCGATATGCTCCCCAAAAAGTTCGCGTGGGATCACGGCCTCGCGAGACTTAGCGCCTATCCAATGATGGCTCAACACTTGGGCAGAATCAGCGCCAAGGATACTAACTCTGTTGAGGCGAGACGAATCTGGAGTATGGCGTTCGAGGATCTAAATCCTCAAAGACTGGCTCATGATCATATCAGAAACGTGATGGAGCTATTTGGTGGCAAAGCAGCTGAAGAGCTAATAGCGAATAGCTGATTAGCCGATGGGGTGTATAATTCTCCCTTGGCTTTACACCGCGACAACTAATTATTACCCGAATCAGCGTAAACACTCCGAACCGCTATATTCTATACCCTACTCAAGCTTATGCAGTGAGTGGTCGTCAATTGCAACGGCACTTGACTCCCCAGGAGATATTATATAGGGTCGCGGCATGAAGACCGCGGCTCGCTGTTGCGCCCCTGATGGCGAGGGCAACAATGCCGAGAAAATTGCGCCGGAGAATTCGCAAAAAGCGAACAGGGCACTACACTACACTGAGGGCGTGACAATGAGTCAAGGCTAGTTAAACGCACTGCTCGTCGGAGGGGAGAGCGAATTACCTTGAAGTAGATTGTGCAGGCTCTAGCATGCCCGACGTTGTGTCCGTGAGGGTTTGCATGGATATGATGTACAGCGGAGGTATTATTTCCTGATGGGCATTCCAACCCGCGGCTCACCTACGGGAAACCAGGTCTGTATGGCCGGAGATAATAGGTAGCTGTATTGGTAATGACGACTAGGTAGAGAGTTACCATTCGACCCAAGCGACTCTCCCGAGTTATCTGTCCAATATCCTAATACTTATCTCTCTAATTTTAGTTGCGGTTTATAATCGATCTTACCTTCACATCGCGGAGTTAACAGTGTGTTACTGTGTTAGTTTCTGCCCATGGTCGAGCGTAAGGTGCGAAATCCAGTGTTCTTTTCTGACTCGGTTTCTTGTAGGTTTCCTTCCGCTGAGGTCACTTCGCGTTCTCGCAGTCTGTTCCAACGTATTCTCACTAGATTTTTTTTTTTTTTTTTCACCACACGACCCCGGGGAAGCCGAGGTTCCTGAATTTATGAATGGGAGTTTGTGAAATGTTCTCACGACTCAACTTGCGTTCCACGCGTGGGGAGTTGAAGTGGCCGAGTCACAGGGCAAAGATGCCGAGGCCCAGCACAGATTGCTTCCGCGATATTGAATAAGCCGTTATCTAGCCGTATGGATCTATCCAAATAATCCACGGGAAAAGGTATCTAGTTAATAGGGCATAGGTAGTTAATCACATTACGTAAATATTCATTATGGAATTCCACGACTCGTCCCATCTCGCCTGTGAAATGGGGGTTTCCCGCAGACGCGTCCAAGTACGCGACAAATGACGTCCTACCTGTTGACTTTCCATTGACTTTCCATTGACATCCCGCACAGTTTGGACCGTCCAATGTTAACTGTCGTGCTGTCCCTGTCCGTGGGAACCCAGAGAGTAGTAATCTGGAAAGGAAAACGCCTTGTCCACTGCTAACTATTTCTACCTAGCTATTTACGGCGCTCGCCTGCCAGCCGACCTTCTTTCTACCTACCTAGTCGCATTCCATGCCGTATGGTTTGCATTAACCATACCCACGATATACATTTCGACATTCATCCCACCGAAAAGAATCATTACCTACGCGCCTCTACACTACCAAAGGTACAATGGAATACGAGTTACTGGCCCTAATTCAACATCCCCGAATGGTAATCCCTTGTTACTACAGCTTCCGCGCAGAACCCTCGACCTCATAGCCGGGCTTCTGCGAATATTGAATTGTAGCTTTTGGGCCTTGCTTCCCGCCTTTTAGCCATCTGCGATGATACCATAGCGGAAGCGCCCTCGCCGTATCGCATATCCGTTTCCTCTTGGCTCCTGCGAACCTCACACTACCTACTCTCTCCTGCTATCATGCCGAAATTCTCCGGCCTGGCGGCTTCACGCTGGGCAAACCATTCGCCTTTAGCCTCTACCTTGCCGTCTTCCGCTGCGAGTGCGAGTGCGACTACTCCTGCGAATGCGAATGCGAATGCGAATGCGACTGCTGCGACCGCTCCCGATACTGCCTCGAACCACCTTACCCTACCGTCCTCTTCCTCGTCCCATCCCGCCAACATTTCCCCGTCCCATCCCGCCAACATTTCCCCATCCCATCCCGCCAACATTTCCCCGTCCCATCCCGCCAACATTTCCCCGTCCCCCCGCTCTCAGCCCCGCACTAGACAGCCTTCGTCTCCCGAGCAGCAAATCGCGCGTTTCTGCAGGATCGCCGCCCGTCTGAAATGGAAGCTGCCGTTCCTGGAGATGGGCTATGCTATTGCCGTGGAGCGGCTAGGCAAGCCGCAGCAAGTAGTCGCCGAGACCGAAATCCACTTCAAGATCGATTTCCACGAGTACTACATGCTGATCGAGCGAGCCCTCGTCCACCTCATGGGCGTCTTCGGCATTGTCATCTATGCCCAGAACGATTATAACGGAAACGGCTACGGAGTCGGCGACGCGGAGCAGAATCACGCTGCCGCCGTATTCCGTGACCGGTCTCAGCCACACCGATACCATGAGAACGTACTACTGGCGCTCGACGATGCTCATAACCCGCTCCATGAGACGCTGGGGCGACCAGATGTCCGCAAACAGCTCTGGCGTGCGAAAGAGCTTAGAAACCTTTGGAAGGATGCTGATAGCGTTGCATCTGGACGCTTTATGCCGGCGCCACTAGAAGCCTATAATCTTAGAGAGATTTTGCAGACAGTCTTGCAGGCGCTCGAAAGCGCGTACATTGTTGCTGACAGATGGGTGCGGTATCGTAGTGCAGAGCCGTGTCAGGATCGCCCTGCCGACACTTCTACTGATTTGCAAGACTGGGAGTTCATGTTTGACGCGATGGACTGGGAGGTGGTTTAGACTGGTAATAGGATGCCTATGTGATTTGGCTCACTGGTTTGGATTCCCTATTCACATGGAAATGGGTAGGTAATTCTGGTTCCGACTCTATGCGACACCTTTGGCGGGTGTTGGATTGTTAGATTGTTGGAAGACCAAGCACCTGAGACCAAGCACCTGAGACCAGGCATCTAAGACCAGACACCGTGGACAGGCTTTGGTCCTATGGGCATGCCTGTTTCGCAGTCGGATTCCCTCTTTTCGGTGTACATATTTCCTGTTCCTAGAGCTTCCCTAGATGGAACTGGAATATCGGTAGACAGCAGCACACTACAACATTGTATAAATAAATGAATAAGGACTTTAAAACTCATAACTACATACCTACCTACTTAGGTATTCAGCAGTGCCCATACAGAGTTTTTGATGTGCATCCTGCTTAGATCCAAGCCTCCAAACCCTTTCCGTATTGCGGGCCTCGAGATCCTTCCGCTGGAATTACTACTTAAGTATCTAGTAATGCTCAGTAAGTAACTATCTAGGTTAGGTATCTACTGCCCTAAGTCTAGCATGAGCTCATTCAAAGCATCGTTAACAAATGCATTTCAATCATGTCTTCCTAGGTTATAAGGTAGATATCCATTGTCCGGCATCCCATCTCACACAATGCAAATAAAGATTTCATTTTGTGTAGGTTTGTCCACGTCCATGAGGAATGAGTGGGTAGGTTTCGAGTCTTGGGGGGGTTGGTGTGTAGGTAGATAGGTATTGTGGCTTTGTAGAATGACATCCTCCATGGCAAGGTGGCCGAGTGGTTATGGCGGTAGACTCAAGCGCACTTTGAAAGAAAAGCTTGCCTGAAGTACTTTGTAAAAATAAACTTCAGGTCGTATTCTACTCTCGAAAGAGGCAGGGGTTCGAATCCCCTTCTTGTCAAAAATGTGAAGATAATTCACACACACATTTTTTTTTTTTTTTTTTTTTTTTATAACTTTTGAAAAAAAATCTTGCCTTGAATTTTGGCGCTCAGATAAATGTATTTAAATCAAGAAATTATTTCAACAACTCGGATTGGTGATTTAAAAAAAAAAAAAAAAAAAAGTATGACTCCGAAGATCTGGAATACCTACAGATTAACTTAGTGCAGGACGGGGTTTCATTTTGCTTCAAGTGCTTACTACACTGCCTCCCCCCCAAAAGGTGTTTGTTTACACTCTACTAACCTGAGGTACTAGGTATGCTAGGTAGTTATGCTACCTTTCAACATGGTCCACTGCCGCCAACAACTACCTCATGTATTTGCGAGAACCGGTTGGTCTACCCTACCTAACTAACCCCGACTTTGGTATGAGAAGCAATTCCAGTATAGTTACCGAGGTAAAACAGGTCGAATGTTAATCGCGAGCATGGCCATAAAGAGACGTCGGCTTCTTTGAGATCAAACGGGATAGTTAATGAGTGTCTATATCTTCTCCTATTAATAGAGTAGGGGCAAAGTAGACGGGTGAGGTTTTGCATAGTATGGGCGTCTGGGATCATACCTAGGTAGGTTAAAGGCAATCACGTCTCTACTTACATTGTAAGTAGGTACGCAAATACGGAAATACGGAAATACGGACTAATGAACCCGGCTCTACTATACGGATTATACTACCTCGGTATTACAATCTCGGGACTTCTCGAGAGAAAGAGAGGCGGGCAAGCAAGTGTTGAATACCTATGGCAGAGGAAGTCCCCTGGTCATTCCCCTTCTCTTTGATTAGTGTAGTGTATTATGGCACTATTGAGTTTTACCGCTGACCAGGGCATGGGATAGGATAGGATAGGATAGGATAAGACAGGATAAGATAGATAGGATAGGTACGAACCCGTAAGTCGTCGATGAGAGATTATGTGTGGTAGTGTAGAAACGATTTGGGAAGTCATCTCACCAACAGGAAAGAGTTAGTTTAGTCCCTTTTTCCCTGGTCTTTCCTCACCATTTTCCATCGACCCAACTACTTTGGCCAAGCGGGCTTCACGCTGGCATACACTGCGAAAACGAGATCCAAAGAAAAACTACGAAAGAAAACGGCAGACGGCGCCGAGTTTCCACTTATTTGAGGGACTGGGGGACAAAAGAAATAACGTGTGAGCTTGAGAAAAAACGGAGGCCGGAGAGAGACGACGGTTCGCGGGAAAATCTACGAGAGAAATCACCAAGACGAAAACGCACGGATTGAGGCGACTGGCGTGGCACGGGCGACTACGAAATCACGGACCTAGGAGGAATGTCGTTCATAGCCAGATCAATCGGATACGCATCCTTGGAATAGAGAGTACCATCTGAGTCGGATGAGCCGTGAAGGCGGTGCGCCAGACGATCTACGAGAAAGCGAACGAGGAGAGCCGACGACGCTTTACCTTTCAGCGAGAAGAGAAAGCAAATTAGAGGAAATCGGCTTCCAGGGGCCAGAGAGCAGGCCGAACCCGACAGAACGAGACGAGACGAGACGAGACGAAACTCCCACCCTACCTATTGTCCCCCGAGCCTCTCCTCGAACAGCTGCCCGCTTTCCACCTCCCGAACATCAGCGACATCAGCGACAACGAGCGCAGACACGTATAGATACGATGAATACACTAACTAAGAACAAGAAAAAGAGGACGAGTCGAGACTCATTGCCGGATCTGCCGATCGTGGGGAATCAGAGGAATTGGAATATCGCCAAGGTTGTTTTACGGTCCCTATGCCTGGCGGTCGGCCTCGTCATCATGGCAGAGCTTATCATGCTTCTCTATACTAGGGAGGCTTTTCTTCAGTACAATCTCAAACCGGTATTTTTTGTGGTAAGAATCCCCTTAGATCATTCTTTTCGTTTGGGGTTTGCGTCCCTGTCCCTTATCCGGATTATACTTATTTCTGTTGAGGGAGAATAGATCGGGCCCGGCATAGCATGGGACCTGGTAGAGTTCATCACGATGTTAATACGCAGGAGCATCGCAAAGGGCGTCCCCTTGGGCGTCCACGTAGGCGCGGAGCTCGTCCTCTGGCTGGGCTGCATTGCCGCGCTCATCATACAAATTGAAGGAATTATCGGGGGTACGATGGACGCGAATTTCGTGGTTGTAGTGACGCTAAGTCAGCTCGGGTTTCTGGTCTTCCTGGTGTAAGTTCTATTTGCCCCCTTCCCTCCCTTTCTTCTCCCTTTTTTTCGTGTCGGGAAATACACTCTATGTGGGATGGATGTCCAGTGCGGGCTAACGAAATGAAATGAAACTGTAGGCTTCTCCGCTTCGTACTCTTCGTTCGGGCATGTGTCGAGGTCGACAGGCTGAAGAGAGATCAACGGGTGCGGGATCTCGTGTTTGCTATTCAGAAGCACGGTTGGAACACACAGAGTAACGATGTCCGGCTAGCAGCACAAGAGCTCAGCAGAGACGTCCGTTCGACGGTCCTCGAGACATTGTCTCCAAGGGATAACCCTCGGTCGTCTTCATCGGCAGCACCAGCGCCACCAGCACCAGCACCAGTACCAGGACCACCAGCACCGCCGCACTCCCCGAGGGAAGAGCGGGATTTCACATACAAGTACAATTTCCCCATAACGACGGCGCAAGAGCTTCTAGAGTCGGGTATTCACCCCGAGGAAGCCAGGAACCAGAAGGTCTTGATTGGTGCTTTTCCGAGGACAAGATGAACGTATTGCCTTTGCGAGAATCGTTAAGACGAAAGAAGTGAAGTAGGTACCTCAAAATTAATATTAATTGATACCCCCTTGTCATTCTCGAATGACACCGCCAGCGCCCTGCTCAAGCTTGAAGAAGACTCGATCGTTTCCTGCTCGCGCTTCACGTTAACTACCAAGAGCGTGGTTAGATCTGGACAGCTTGTTCCAAACATGGGGGTTCGGAAAGGTCACTTGTCGTCGGCGTACTCCCCCTTCGTCCAAACGCAATGAGTAACGATTCCATTCTGTGGTCCTGTGGATATACACGGTGCTATTCCAGGGCTCCGGCCCCTCGGACAATGAGACTTTCGCATCGACACATAAATGGATTGACCGAGGAGATGAAAAGCTGCGCGTGGGGGACGCCATATCTAACTAACCCCGATAACTAATCGGCGTGGTTGTTTTCTGTCGAGTAAGTCGTCGGGTCCGGGACCACGTCACGTCTGGACGCAAGTACACGGCGGAATTGCCATCATGATAGACGCCAGTCCTGCGTCCAAAAAAGAGAAAAATTCCAGGACGACACCCCCGCGCGGGATCCCGTGTAAATTACAGTCAGGTATACTGACGACGATGGCACACAAACGGCGCCTACTATGTAAGGAAACTGCCGGTACTCTCCTAAGTAGGTACAAGGTCTGGGGACTTAGCCGCCATGGAAGCCAGTACACTTCAAGCTTAGAAGGGGTAGGTAGCGTGATCCGGCGTTGTGGGGATGATGGGCACGATGACTGACGGATGTTGATGTTCGGCTAACCTGGGTGGATAGTTGTAGGTAGTGGTGGACTACCCATCATTTGGAGAGACTCCATTCATTATCATCGCAAGCTACGGTTAGATCCCCTCGGCTGGCTGGCGGTTGGCGACTTGTTTTGGACAGGAGTCATAGGACCATAGGGCATCATGATGATAGGTGCGAACTCCCGGAGTTGTATCGGTATCGGAGCGGAAGTGATGGATCATAGCCTTCCCTTCCATCATGGGTGGATCTCCTAGATACTTAGTCTAGTTAGTAGATAGTCTAGTAGATAGATAGATAGTAGAGGTAGATAAGCCGAAAACACCGTACAGTGTACTCACGGTATGAACATACAGTACGTCATGGGACAACAAGGTCCGTCAACCGCCTTCCTTTTAATTCGGAATCAGCAGGCCAGCGGCTCATCTGAATCCATCACATGTCGTCATGTCTGAGCCTACTAACCTATCTAACCTAGGGATACTCACCGCCAAGTGCGTCTTCGGCCATGTGTTCTTTCAAAGTCTCCCGAGTCTGCTCAACCGATGCGATGCCGCAACATCTCGGTCAAAGGCGACTGGATCACGATTTCCTTGCGGTGTCTGTATCATACCGTACCGTGTGTCTAAGCTGCCCCTGAAACTGTGTCACCATCAGCGGGGGCACCTTCCAAGACTGTGTGAGATATGCTGTTACACACGGTGGCTAGTGTTGACAGTGTCTGTAGTCTAACTATGTATGTATAGTTCCGATGTAGACAGCCACTGTGCAGGCCGGAAGTTGGTCTTGGACTCTTGGCAGTTGCATAGAGGACAGTATCTACGACACTGTAACACTTTCGACGTCACAAGGAGACCCATGTGGGCCTCGTAATGAATGCCCCTAACGAACGGTCAAGAGTCAGCTGCTTCAAGCTTTATCATCCGCCTACCGGTACTAGATAGGTTATCTGATCCGAAGCTCGCTCGTTGTCTTGAGAGCATCGATAGGTATTCCGCCATAGTTAAAAGTTATCTAATACATAACGGCTCTGTGCTGACGAGGTGACCACGATCTTCCGTATTTCTCAATTCCCAGGGACCTCGGGACGGGACCCTTTCGATTCGACACTTGTTATCATCAGCAATCTCGCCGTCGCTGTTCTTGTTTCTTGTTTCTTGTTTCTTGGTTCTTGCACCATGGCGCCAACTGTATCTCTGCGCTCGGTGCTCACCAATGCGGGTAGGCTCTTCTCACAGACACCGCTGTTCAGGGATCTCCTGAATGACTTGCCAAACTCCGTACCCTCGCTCTACGAAACAGACGGCGCAAGTCCCTCGTACATTGACAACGACAACGACAACGACAACGACGACACGGGCTATGATTGGACTCCCATTTCCCATGACGTAACGCCCTATGAACCCCTCGGCATCGCGCCTTCGTGTCCCCTTGATGGACCCGTGAGCTGTAGTAAAAGCGTCGAGGCGGATTCTTGCTGCTTT